TAATACCATAGAAGTGGTTGCTTGCATGTGGCTGTGGCTTCCTTCAGGGAGTCCATTCATTTCATATTTGGTCTTCATTTTTTTCTCACTGCCTTCAGCTTTTCCTAGCATTATCATCTTTTGCTGTGACTCTGCTCTTCTCACCCTGTGCCCTTAGTATGATAGCCTCGGTTTTGTCATGTTTGCTTCTATCCAAAGTTCAGGGTTGACTTTATCTAGGACCCCCTTGTTTGTCTTTCTGGTGGCCTGTGGCATCTGCAAACTTCCCCTCCAGCTCCGTATTTCAAATGACTTGGGTTTTTTTTCCTCTCTGCTTTTTTTACAGTTCAATTTCACATCCGGACATAACAATCAAAATTAAATGTATAGGTAAAGGTAAAGGTTCCCCTTGACAATTTTTGTCCAGTCGTGTTCGACTCTAGGGGGCGGTGCTCATCCCCGTTTCCAAGCCATAGAGCCAGCGTTTTGTCCGAAGACAATCTTCCGTGGTCACATGGCCAGTGCGACTTAGACACGGAACGCTGTTACCTTCCCACCAAGGTGGTCCCTATTGATCTACTTGCATTTGCATGCTTTCGAACCGCTAGGTTGGCGGGAGCTGGGACAAGTGACGGGCGCTCACTCCGTCCTGTGGATTCGATCTTACGACTGCTTGGTCTTCTGACCCTGCAGTACAGGCTTCTGCGGTATAGACCGCAGTGCCACCACGTCCCAAAATTAAATGATATGGGGTTAAATGTATAAACAGTCTAGCAGAACATCAACAACATTTTTTTAAAGAAATTGAGCACCATGACAAAAGAAGCCAGAACATAAAGGGAAAATGAGAATAAGAAAAAAAATCACATTTATTTTAAGAAGGCCTCGATCCTATCATGAAGGTCAGGGATGGAATGGCAGTTTCTTCAGTTCACATTTCAATATGAACTTATGTAGCTAACTCCATTCTTTTGTATGGACACATAAGCTGAAATGCAGTGGTCTGTTAAAGTTTGGACTCTTCTCCAAACTTTGCAGTGGAGTTCATCAAACAAATACAGGAATACATATTATGGGGAAAATGCCAACAAAGCCACTTATTTAATGAAAATAACATTCCTCTATAGCGCTGGTGCCTCTGGAAGAACTGCACTGAATTGCATTCAATTGTCTCAGCACCCCCAGCCAGTGCTATGTTATTGTTATGTTTTGTCAAGTTGTATCAGACTAGTGGGCTGGCTAGATAGTTCAGTGAGTTGGATTACTTGGCTGTGGAGCAAGAGGTCAGGAACTCAATTCCCCACTATGCCTTCCAAGAGAAGAGCCAGCTTGTGTGGCGTTGGGCAAGCAGCGCAGTCCCAGGGTGCCCCTAGAAGAAGGGCATGGCCAACCACTTCTGAGTCTTGCCAATAGCACGGTGGCGTGCCAAGCACAAACAGAGCTGATCTGTGCATGACGATGGGCTGGGCCAGCGTTACACATCCTCCCTAGTATCTGGAATGCAGCATTCAACATCTGGAAAACCAAACTGTACTTATCAAATAAAAAAGCCGTCAAACAGCCTCTCAAGTGGGTCTTCCCAATACTTTCTTTTTAAACAATGGCTTTCATGAACATCTCCCAAGGCACTCGTCGTACATCTCTTGACTTCTCCCTCAGGTCATGATCACATGAGGCAAATGTTCCCTTGTTATACCCCTGCTAGATTGTTGTAGAAACCTTTGGTCACATGATGCACAACCATTATAGAACCATTTACCTGGCCAGCAGTGTACCTGTGGTTTATTTCCCCCTTGCTTCTGTTATTTTGTTCCAATGGCTTTTTGACATATTCCTTAATAGTATGACATGTATGCACTATCGATTCTTTTTTGAAGCCATGTCACGAGGGAGGGCAGCCACCCTTACTGCCATGTGGCTACCCTGTTATAATTTTTTTTAATGTGGCCATTATGTTGTTACATAGGAAAACTTATGTCGCTGGACAGGTGTGCCAGGGCATTGATAGGTGTTGTATCACTTACTGTCTGGCAAGCGACACAGCCCTGGGTGGGGGTGCTGAGTCAATTGAGTGCAATTCAATGCAGTTCTTCCAGAGGCACCAGCGCTATAGAGGAAAAAAATTTTTGAACAGGAACTGTTTCCTGACATAGCAATGCATCATTAAAAAATTAAAGTAAGTTGCTACAGTACTCCAGAAAAAAAGGGAAAATAAATTTCTACCATGGTGTAGCCGGCCATAATTGGAGAAAATGAATTGGCACAATTAAAACACATTGGGATATTTGTCCAGGTACATATAGCACGTGACCGTGATTCAGTAAAACAAAGGTATGGAAAGCGTCATTAGAACAGGGGAACATTTCCCTGGTGTGACCGCAGCCTCAGTCTGCGGTCTCTGTTCTGTTTAATGTACCCATGATCTCATTATCTTCCTGCCCCTCACCCCCCTCCCATACACAAGTAAACACTAAATAATATGTTCACTGAGCTTGACGTTACTGAATAGGCCCTGGAATGCTGGTGGTAGTAGGTGTATTTGCTTACATTAAGAATTAGGAACGTTTGCTGATTTGGTCGAGGAGGTGGGCCCTCCCATCGGTTAGGGTGTTAATCTGTTTCTCACACAAGATGTGCAAAGAAATTCTGTTGTTCATCCCCTTTGCTTTGTGATAAATGTTTGTTCTTTCTCTGTAAAGCTAGGTGTGGGAGAAAGGGGTGTGTTTTCATATATATGACCCTCCACTTCTTTCTCTGTTTCACAATACACATACACACAAATGCAAGAACACTTTTTAATTTAACTAAAAAGGACCACTCAAAATGAAGACTCTCTGTGCTTTTATTCTTCTGGCAGTGGGTAAGTGGA